CTCTCTCTCTCTCCACTCACACCCAACAGGAGTACGACTACTCCCGATCGGGAAACCCGACCCGCAAATGCCTGGAGACAGCGTTGGCCGCACTGGAGAGCACCCGATACGCGCTGGCCTTTGGCTCAGGTATGGCCGCAACCGTCACGTGCGGACACCTTTTATCGGCCGGCGAGCACGTGCTCTCCTGCGACGACATATACGGCGGTAGTCACCGGTATTTCACGCGATGTCTGCGCCCACAGGGCTTTGACGTGACACTCGCCGATTTTACCGACTTGTCCGCAGTGGCCGCCAATATCCGCCCCAATACGCGGCTCCTGTGGGTCGAGACCCCGTCTAACCCACTCATGAAACTCGTCGATCTGAAAGCCCTGTGCGAACTCCGGGACCGATTGGCTCCGGAGGCCATCATCGCTGTGGACAACACTTTTATGAGTCCACTGTTTCAGCGGCCGCTAGACTTTGGCGCCGATCTGTCCGTACATTCAGTCACCAAATATATCAACGGTTTGTTTTCAATCAATCCTTTTGCTATGACTATTGCCTGATAGTCCTATCCATCCGTCCCAACACGACAGGCCATTCAGACGTGATTATGGGCGCTGTTATGACCAATCGGGAAGACTTGTACTCAAAGCTGGCTTTTCTCCAAAACGGTGAGTCTTATTATCACTAAAATGTTGATCCAATTATCACTTGTTTTGTTGTCACACCCGAAGCTTTGGGAACAGTTAGCTCTCCGTTTGACTGTTTCCTCGCCAATCGGGGCCTCAAGACTCTGAGCGCTCGAATGGCTGTCCACCAAACCAACGGTCTATCCGTCGCCCGTTTCTTAGAGTCACATCCGATGATCACTCAAGTCCTCCATCCGAGCCTCGAGTCTCACCCCCAGTACGAGTTGGCCCGCAGACAGTGCCGGGGCTTTAGTGGAATGGTATGTATGGGTTGTGTTAATGGTATATGGGATCAGCTATTAAACTCTTAACCTCTGGTCCCTAAATACTAGATATCGTTCCGACTGAAGGGATCAGTTAATCAAACGAAGACATTCCTCGAGAGTCTAAAACTCTTCAAACTGGTGGTGAGTTTGGGATCAGTCGAGTCTCGAGTGGAACTGCCGGCCCGTATGTCACACCTGTCTGTCCCGAGAGAGCATCTGAAGGCACTGGGAATTGACGACCAATTACTCCGTCTGTCGGTCGGCATCGAAGACACCGATGATCTGATCCAAGACTTGGCCACAGCTCTGAAGTGCGCCCAACAGACCATTGAAAACGGTTTTAAGTGACCGTAGTTTTTGTTTTTAATCATTATAATTAATGATTTAATTATTGTATAATCTATTAAATGGGTTAGGGATCCTTAAGGGTTTTAACATGATAAATAAGACTTTTAATTAATAAATTTTTATATGATCTATGTGAGTATTAATTAATTTTAATTGCAATATAATTTTATATATTAAATTATGATGCCAATAAATTAACTAAAACCAGATATATTTTATAATTATTTAAAAATAATTATTATTAATAATTATTAATTTAAACTAGGATCACTATTTTTTGGACTAATAATTCATTTTAACTCATTTACTAAATATTAAAACACATTTGATTTGATCAGGTTTAACCGGATTTAAATAAGATTATTTATATACAACTTGTATGCAGAATTTTGTCTATCACAATTTATTTCTGTTGATTTTGTTGTTTTTTGGTAGTTTTGAAATCGAATATTTCTAATGTTTAATAAATTCAATTACAATTATCATTGTAAATTTATAATAATGCAAGCTCATTCAATAAATTCACTGATGTTAATAACATTAAAACAGTCATCATCAACGATCGCCATGGTGTAATGAAATTGTAAATAGTCAATACTGTATGTGTTATAAATATAGCGATTTATAGGCAGATTCATATTTAATAGCATTAGTCATGCTATAACTAAAGTATAACCTCACTATACAATAGTGGCACTAAAGTGGCCCTAACGGGTTTTGATGGTCATCATGTACAGTATTATAATAAATAATACATGTATGTCTATGATCATTGATCATTCATTGTAAGTCTATGATTCTATAATTTATTCTAAATTTAATTTTTATTTTAACAAAATCAAATTTGCTTTAATTAAGAAACTCGATAAGTTATAAAAGTGACATTGTTCCCTCAAATACAAACAGCTACAAACATTTTTAGATTTAGTTTTAAATTAAGTTTTATATTAATTTCTATGTAAAACAGCTTTTGTTGATAGAGATTTTTCATTTGAAATAATTATAATCATTTTAATGCTTATATCATTGTATTACCCAATTCTCGTTTATTAATTTAATATTTTAGCTTAGAAGTTATAACTTTATAAGAAGTGCCTGGTTATCAATTAAAAGTCAAAAATTAAATAACTTAATAAAATAGATTAACAGTTAACTAATCCAGTTAAAAATTCCTTAATATATTACATTTTCAAGTAATAAATAAGTTGATAAGTTTCAATGGCAGTCAACGGTATCCCTGAGGATAGTGTCTACTTTCCAGACAAAGAGTACAGTAAAACCTCTCACATCGGATCCCTCAATGAGTACCGAAAACTATACCAAAAGTCAGTGGAAGATCCCGAAGGCTTTTGGATGGAAATCGCCGGCGAATTCTTCTGGAAGCGATGGCCCGAAGAAGTACAGGTCGTGTCTTATAATTTTGATATCACTAAAGGACCGGTTCGGGTGAAATGGTTGGACGGCTGCCAAACCAATATGTGCTACAATGTGTTGGATCGGCTCATTGGCAAAGGTCTGGGCAATCGGGTTGCCTATTATTGGTGAGTTATTATAGAGATATTTCGTGTCGATAAACCACGATTAATTGTCATTAAAGTTTTAAATAGGCATATTGTAAGTTTATATTTTTCATATAATTATTGTATTTTTTAATTTCAGTTATAAAATATTAACTTGTATTAAGGACTAATTGTAATCTTATTATAGTGAAATACTTTATACAATCAGTGTAACATTTAACTGCTTATTAAGCTAGCAATGTTCACTAAATCCTATACGAATTAATAGTTATATTTAAATACATAAAATATTTTTTATAAAATTACAAATATCAAGTTTTTATTTTGTTTTTATTCACTAAGCGAGTGATATATGTTAAACAAATATAAACTAACTCTTTTAATGAAAGTTGTAGACTTTTAAAAGCAATAAAACTTGTAATATTTTACTTGTAATGTACATGTAATGTACTATTGCATATGTATTGAGATATTTGGTAGGTCATTTAATTATAAGAATTTTATAAATTAAATATACAATTATTTGGGCTTACTTTACAGGGACTCTAATGACGACAGCATTCACAAAACAGTCACTTATAATGAGTTACTTCGAGACGTGTGCCGATTGGCCAACGCCTTCAAGGGGTTGGGTATCAAACGGGGAGATAGAGTGGCCATCTATATGTCGGTTACCCTAGAGTTGGTCACCGCTATGTTGGCCTGCGCTCGGATCGGCGCCATTCACACAGTGGTCGTGCGTACAATCAATACTATTATTTAAATTAAAAATAAACTAGCTTTATTATTATCTAATCATAAAAATTATGGTCATTTTTGATAGTTTGCCGGCTTCTCTGCCGAAGCGCTGGCCGACCGTATTATTGGCGCCAATTGTAAGCTATTAGTGACAGCCGACGGCGCCCTCCGGGCCGACAAGTTTATACCACTGAAAACAATAGCCGACTCCGCGCTTGTGATATGCAAACAACAGTATATTTTTTAATGAAATTAATTAAATTGTAATTAATCTATAAGTTAACCCTAAATAGGGATCACAAAGTGGTCGCTTGTATTGTGAGTCCACACCTTAAACTTCATAGGATTAACATTGATGTCAATAATAATGAAGATGAGGTCAAGTTAGTGATCAATTGGGACCCCAATGTGGACATCCTATGGACGGATGCCGTGGAAAATATGCCCGACTATTGCGAACCCGAATGGATGAATGCAGAGGACCTGCTGTTTGTACTGTTTACCAGGTTTGTTTATCATTAATTAATATGTACATTTTGCAAATTATACTGGCTTAAAAACTAAACATCAATTCTAGTTACTTTGTTTTGTTGTTGTAACTAACATTTTAGTTAAACATAAAATCATATATTTTTTAAATATTAAACGCAGATTATGTAACTATTGAATTAAACAACTGTTATCAAATTAATGCTAGGTTAATACTTTAATTCTGGTTAACATTTGGATCAATATAAAAAATTTATACAGTCAATATCAAAAGCCAATAACTTTATTATGAGTCTGTTTGATTGTAATGACAACAATTACTAATAGTAATTGTAAATCCTTTAAATAAATAATTAGTAAACAATTATTATAATTGTAAAGTAAAAGTAGTATGTTGTAATTACTATTATAAATTTATAGTAATTATACTTTATTCATATGACAATACGTTTCTTTAATTAAAATGGCAAAAGAACCAAGGTTAACTATTATTATAAATTCTATGCAACTCTTTGGTTCAACCTTTAACAATTTTCTTTAATTTCTAAACATATTAAAAATAATTATCATTTGAAACCAAACACTAAACCAAAAAACAAAACAAATAATTGTTTGTAAATACTGTCGCAGCGGAAGTACAGGCAAACCAAAAGGCATTGTCCACACAATCGGCGGTTATCTCCTCTACTCTTACATTACATTCAAACACGTATTCAATTACACCGACGGAGACGTGTTTTTCTCGACGGCCGACTTGGGATGGATGGCCGCCCACACGTTCAACGTATACGGCCCGCTGGCCAACGGGGCCAGTGTTGTCCTGTTTGACGGCACACCCTTCTACCCGTTGGCCGGCCGCCTGTGGGCCACAATTGATCGGTTGGGCGTCAATATATTCAATACGGCGCCGACTACTGTACGATCGTTGATGAGGTTTGGCGACCAACCCGTCAAACAGTACAGTCGACAGTCGCTGAAAGTGTTGGCCATCGCCGGCGAGACTATGAATCCGGAGGCGTGGCTCTGGTTGAGGGATGTGGTGGGCGATGGCCGCTGTCCAGTGGTCGACAGCTATTGGCAAACAGAGACTGTATTACATATATTTAGTTTATGTTCAAAATTTATATAAATTATTATAATGCAATTTATTCTGTAAACTAATAACACATTTTTAAAATTTTTTAAACTTTACAATAGTTTCTAAAATGCTAACTTATTTGCTTAAAAGGGCGGACCAATGATCACGAGCCTTCCGGGTGCTACCCCTATGAAACCGGGTTCAGTTTCCCTACCATTCTTTGGTGTAGTGCCGGCGATACTGGACTCGGATGGCCGGGAACTGGAGGGCGAGGCCACCGGGCAGTTGGTGTTCAAGACCGCGTGGCCGGGCATCGCCCGTACCATCGATGGCCAACACGACCGGTACGAGTCGACATACTTTCACAAATATAGGGGCTATTACTGGACGGGCGACGGCGCCCGACGCGACACCGACGGTCACTATTGGTTGAATGGCCGCAACGACGACAACCTGAATGTGTCCGGCCATCTGTTATCCACCGTTGAAGTGGAGACAGCTGTTGGTGAGCACCGGGCGGTGGCCGAGGCCGCAGCCGTGTCCGCTCCGCACCCAATCAAAGGCGACTGCATTCACGTGTTTGTTGTGTTGAATAATGGCTTTCAATTGACGCCCGAATTGATTAAGGATATCAAACGCAGAGGTATTTTGATGTTAAATGAATATACAGTACAGTACAACCTAGTGTAACCTCTCTATTAGAAACTAGTTTGAAAGTTTAGTATTGACTCGTGAGTATATTTTCAAATATGACCCTGTTTATAAAAAACACGGTTGTCCCTCAACTACTTATTATTTATAAAGTGGTTGAACTGTATCTTGTTTTTATGACCAGACTAGTTTAAAATAATTGTTTAATGTTTAAATAATTATACAGCGATATAAATTTAAATGTTTATTATTTGTATGCATCCATTTAACCGACTAAAGCACGTGATAAAATCGGGGCCCACGCCGAACCGGACGCCATCCGAGCGGTGGCCGAACTGCCGAAGACTAAATCGGGTAAAATTATGCGCCGAATATTGAAAAAAGTGACCCAAAATGACCACCAATTGGGCGACACGTCCACAATGGCCGACGAGTCCGTAATCCAGGAGTTGTTCGCCAGACTCAACACTGGAAGTGATATTAAATGATGATGAGCGAACTCGCTTAACCTAACTTATATTAGCCATGTAGCTTTTTTATCGAAAATTCTTATTACAGTAAAAGTTTATTTGGTTGAAGTGATTGGGTTTTATCATTTGGTTCACACAAATGATCATGCTAAAAATATGATTAAAAACATTTATTTTTCCATTAATATTCAAAATTACACATTTTAATTGTTATATTAAATATGGTTTGTAATTTTCTGTTGTTTTAATTATTTAAATAAAGTTTTAAATAACTAGTTAAACCACTAATAAAATAAGCGCCAATATTTTTTCGCTCATTTCTAATCATTAATAGGTTTGATATAAAAAATGTAATTAATTTTATTTAAATATAAAAAAGTAATTACAAATTTGCGAAAATGAATTCAAAAACATTTCATTATAATGAAAACATATGAGAATTATTTTATAATTAATTTTGTGATGAATTAACAAACAGTAATTTTAAACCAAATTCCAAACAATAATATCTTAATAATTGTATTAAAAATGAGTTATTTTTTAATTAGAAAACTTTTTAAATGTGAATATTTCTGTTGTTAATACAAACGCTAATAATTTTCGCTGATTTCCAATCGTTGAGAGTTTGTGCAGTCATTTCAGAGTAGTTTTCTTTCTCATAGAGTTTAATGATCTGTATTTTAGACAATAATGACAATGAATTCAATAGATTTGCTGTGAGTTTCTCGCAATAAAGTGACAAATATTGAAGTTTTGGGAAATTAATGACAAAATTTGATGAAAAAGTAATCTTATTGTAACCAAAGGGACAACTCGTTAAATGTGCTAATCGTTTACATTTAGACAACGATTCACTCATTAATATACAATTTTTGGAAAACGAACCGTTGATTTGCAAACGTTTCAAATGATTGAAGTAATCATTAATTGTTTCAATCATTTTAGAAAATGTTTCGTTTGAATGGTAGTGCAAATCAAGTGATAGTCTCTTGAGTTTACGGCAATTAATACCCAATCGTCTAAAATCATCGCATAATATACTGTCAGACATGAAACTAATCTTGAGATCAATTAATTCAGTCATTTGTGACAAACCATTCATTAGTATTGAATTCTCTCGAATATAGTCATAATTTATGACTTCAATTGCTTTCAATTGTTTGCCATATATTCTTACAAATGCTTTAAAATTAGTGATGTCTTCGTAACCAAATCTTAAGCACACTTTTCGTAATTTCTTAAACAATATCTCATTTTGATTACCACTTAATAATACAGACAATGAATAGAAAATAATATTAATTTGTGTTAAATTAGTGCAACACTTGAGTCTCTGTTCAATAAATGTGTTATTTTCTGCTAAACTTCTGATTTGAAGAAATTTCAATTGTTTTTCATATTTTGTCAAAAACTTGTCAATAGTTTCCACGTTTTCATCACTTTTAAGGGTATAACTAATTGAATGCAATTTATGGCAGTATTGCATAACAGCCGCCAAACGAGTCTCAATACACGGATAGTCTTCAATAGTTGTAATATTTTTACACTTTTTTACTATTAATTCAAACGTTTTGTCACTTATTTCATATGACATTTCACGTGTGATCTCATATTGAGTCTCATATATAACTCTCTGCCACTGTTTGGACACCTCTTCGTAT